GGAGGCTGCAGGATCTGTCTCTATGTTCTCCGCCTCTTTAATTTGGTCTCTCCTTAGACCTGATACCGGTGTTTTCCCGTATCTATAATAGAAGATATATTCCTCTTTATCTATTGCCTCCTTGGATTTGAGGTCAATTCCTATTGTGAGGATCTGACCATGACCCTCGAGTTGATGATTCGCCAACTCAATGTTCTTACGTTAGAGTTCCGAGTCTGGATAAGACTCAGAGGTATCGTTGCTTCTCGGTAGAAAGACCCTGATGGCCGCCCCTTTTGAGTTGTTATCTCCCCTCACTGCAACCAGTCCCGGCCCCTACCAATGTTTAAGCTTATGTGCGATTTCCACCAACCAATCCGCCGATTCTTGAGATACATAATCAATGAGAATCATGCCTACTCGAAAGTGGATCCCCGCAAAACGCAGCTGACCCACATTTTGTAGATCGTTGTGTTGCAATCCGGTAGCCACTACTGCGTCCAGTATCGTCTCCTCTAGAGCCGTTTGCTGGTCGGTGGTCAGTGCAACCTCTGGGTAATCCTTCGGCAGCACTTCCATTTTCACTTATCCAGCAATAGCGGCAAAACTGGTGATACGTCCCTGCTTGCCTTCCGGCATTGTTGGTGTTGGACGGCTTTCCACCCTGGCGTTTTTATTTCCTTGCCGGAGCAGAGGTGAGAGGTTCTTGCTCCCTCTCTTGCCCTTTGATGGAGATGCGCCAGGCTGTTACTCTGCCCGTTTCCGAGGAGTGTTTTCGCTTTTGCATCCTCTGGACCAAGTCTTTCGTGGAGCAGTCGGAGCTCCGTTCTTCTGCTCCGCTAAGACCTACCCTCAGAGGATCGCCTAGCCCGCCTAGTTGACCCAGAAACGAAACCGGTAGGCTTTTGTTGGAGGAGGTGGTCGCTTGTGTTGCAGTTAATAGTTTGAGGAAACCTTTTAGTTGAGGGAAATAAATTTTGTAAAAATATCTTAAGAAGTTAATTTTAAGTCGAGATATTGCTTTGTAATACTTTAAGAACTCACTCTGTATGTAGATTTTCCTTTTGGCTTTTCATTACTCTTTGTATATTTGTGTTATTTATGATGTTATTTATAAAAAAAAAATTCAATATATATAGGAAGAACTGTAAGTTGTTACAATAGAAAATGCACCAATGAATTATTGTAATTAGATTAGATTCCTATAGGTGACCATCGGCCTGATCCACTGCGACCTTTTCAGATTGTCTATTGTGGTCCTTTTTTGATCCTTAGGAGTGATTTCCGTTCTCCAGTCCTGTGTCCTATCATTTTCACAAAGTTTAGCAACTTGGAGACGAACCCTCCATGTAGCTCCCTGGCAATGGCCTATCATTGCCTATTACCGAGAACCGCCCATTTGCCAGGCTTAAAATGTATTCTGTCGTTTCTTCTTCAGATTGGCAAAACCTACACATAGCTTGGTCTGTCAATCCCATTAGCTTTAGATGCCTATTCAGCTTACAATGCCAATGAATTGTAATACAATCAAACACTTTTGAAACTCTCAAAGCAAGTTTCGTTTCCCTCTTTACCATCATGTTCAGATGATTAAATCTAAATTTACATACAAAATGAGAGGCAGTCGACTGGTATTTTTACAACAAGTCACTGTAACGATAAATTCAAAAGAAAACTTGAGTAACGGTAAAAAAATTATAACGATAAAACTTAAAATAAACTACAGACTGAACTTAATATCTTTCATCAGGTATTATCCCGAAATAACAAAGGAGAATAAAATAATCTAATATACAAAATATCATGTGAATGATTATGAAACATCTAGACTCTTAAATCTTCGAATTAAAAAACATAAAGTTTATTTAAGAAAGGGCAATTTCTCCAAATCTAATATTCATGGGACACACAAAAACTTCCCGAAACGTTAAGCATTTTTTGGCTGTTAGGCAAATTTATTTATTAGTAAACCACTGCTGACGCAGACGTCTGACGCATGACGTTTCCGGTGGACAAAAAATAACTATTTTATTTTGTAGATTTACTTACAGTGGCGAAATACCTATAGGACTTTTTTGAAGAGATGAATCTGCCACAGAGGTATAGACATTTTTTCACAAAGGAGAAGTTTAAACCGGCAAACAGGCGTAGCACAGTGTGTCCCATTTTTGATGTCCTTGTCATTTGCGAAGCGCTAATAATGTTTTCTGGAATGCATATTGTTTGTATGATGTATGAAAAATATACAGAGTGTACCAATTAAAAAATAACATAACTTTAGGTATTATTTAAGTTACGACGACTCAAATCAAAAAGCTAACAACGCCACTGGAATATATACAATAATTAGTTTATTTAATTTAACGGTATTAAGTGAAATTTTACCTGGATATTTATCTAGCTATCTAACCTTTAAATTTTAGACATCCATTCCACGAGGCATATTTTTGAAGGATAATGTGTATCTTTTGACATTTTGGCCCCAGGAGAACGGACAAAGAGGATGGCATCCGTTAAAATGAAAGTTCACATCGACCTTTTAGCTTTGATTAATAAATGTGGTCTATATTTCAGAGAAAGGAAAAAGCCGACTGGGACCTTTTTAGGTTAGGGCAATAATGATAGTAATCATAAGTAAACCGTTTCTTTTTTTAGACTGATTTATTTTAGTCGAGTATTCCAGTTTTGGGTTAAACTCCTGACACACATTTACTTCGCAATTATTTTATAAATAAATAATTTTTCAAGTAAAAGTATATCGGAAGAATAATTACCTATGTCGGTTTATAAATACAGGGTCCGGCAATAGTGCGTCAGGCATCTGTAACTCCTAAAATAAAAAACCTTTGTTCTTTTGTACTGGGATGAATTTCAGAAAAATATTTAACTTCTATAGGGTGGATAATAAAAGTGTGAGTGGATTGGGAAATTTAAATGGAGCAGCCTGTATATTATTGAATTTTTGGCTTCCTTTCAAATCACTTTACATAATACTTAGATAATATTTAGATAGTTTAAGAGATATTAATAAATAAATAAAAAATATACATTTTTCAGCCTTTATTAAAACAAATCGTCAGTGAAACGTGATAACCTGCTAACTCCATTTTTTACGTTAATAAGTTTTTTTATATCATTAGAAAGAGAAAAAAATACTCTATAAGTAGGGAAAGCAAACACATTTTTTCCCATTAAAGAATTTTTTTTATTTTAACTCAGTAATATCTGCTAACTCCGAGTGATCTCAAATAGCCACCGAAATGCTGCTATCTCCGTAACTTCCGTTACGACCACGCTAAAGCAAACACACGGATTCACTCGTATGTTTCTTTAGTACAGTACGTCGACCCAGGGTCGCACTAGGCCAACAGGGCCCGGGTGGCAATGTAAGGAGGGGCCAGTGTGGTTTTTTTGCGTATTTTTTCGCCTTACGTTTTGGTCATTTTTTCCCTATTATATACAGGGTGCTTCTCCTATAGAAAAGGGTGTTTCCATTTAAAAGCGTCGAATTTGACCCACCCTGTACAGGCTGGCGCCTCGCAAACGACGCGGAGGCTCAAAGGTGAACGACAGTTTGTATTGAAATGAAATTTTGTGAGCGCATGTAGTTTAATTCACAGCACTTTTTAAAAATATAGAGTTCTACAGGGTGTCCCCAAAAAAAGTGTACGTATCAAAGTTGTGTTTTTTGTAATGGATCGCCCTATATATTAATTGATTTTCGGATTTTAGAAGAAAAATGAATATGAGTCTTATTACAAAAGTATATATGACTAAAATGTAAGTTTTTTGACATATTTAACATTTTTTAAAAATAAAGAAATTTTTTTAAATTCCACTAAAATCTACCTGAATTGGAATTTACCCAGTTTAATCTAATATGTAGTTAAAATAACTATTCTACTTTAAATCAAATTAAAACTTGACCCAAAAACTTATGTAGGCTGTGTCAAAATTAATGTTGAACATTGGTACCATTTAAAAGCAAGTTACTCCTTTATTTTGAGTGAAACACCCAGTATATTATTCTGATATTCAATGGGGTCAATTCATGTATTTTTAAAATACTATTAAGGTTGCCTATCCCTCAAACAAAGATTTTCTTAAATATTTTCATTTTTATGATTTAGTCTCTTTATTATTTGATAAAATCTAGGTGACTATGATATGTCTTACGCTACTTTATAATATATAACAAAGATGTTTAGTTAGTCCAACTTTAACAACTACCCAGATAACACATTTACGTTCTTTTCATATGCGAAGCAAATGACTTTGGAGAACAACAATGTTCTATTCACATTCCTTTTTTTCATTGGGAACATATATGGCACATGAATAGTAGAGATTACGTTCCACCCTATTCAAGTGATATAGAAGTGCGTTTCACATTCCAAGATTTATTCTATGAACGTGAATTATATGTTCGTAAAAGAATGTATTTAAAAATAATATTCCAATTATATGATATTCATGTTTTTAATATTCTATATTTATGCTTTTCATATATTTTTCATATTTTTTGTATTATCTACAGAAACAAAATAAAAGACTAATTCACCACAATACACCAAAACACTTTACTTTTGCACTGGACGCGCATTTCGCTAACCATGTTAGCATCGTCAGCAGATGATCAAAACTTGAATTTTAATAATCTGCTGATGATGCTAACATGGTTAACCAAAGAGCGTCCAGTTCAAAAGTAGTGTTTTGGTGTATTGTGGTGAATTAGTGTTTTATTTTGCTGTTGTAACACCAAAGGTTCTAACCCTCAACTGTATCTACAGGGTATCCTGTATGCGGATGCACTGTACCAATATCCTATAAACTATAGATACAAATTTTTCCATACTTAACAATTTTTTTATCTTTTAAAATCTATAGGATACCTATACAGTACATTCATACCTGGGACATACCACAATTTGCTGAAATTAAATAATTTGGTGTGTAATAATTAAAAATTAACTAATAAATAGAACAGTTAAAAATAATAATAAGTAAGGCTAAAGACAAACTTGAGTAAAATATGTTTATTTATTAAAAATATTAACAATATATACATTAATATCTTCTATGTTTCGATATTCTCTGGTCTCCCCTTCTGAAATAATATCAGCAAAATTATACTGTTCAAATAAATTTGCAGAATTTACCTCTGTATTTTTTAATCTTTCTTTGGCTTTTACAAGCCATATTTTAATTATATTTATAATTTCGGTTTCTTTTGAATCTTGAAATTGACCTTTCATGGAGTCTAAAATATATTTTGTTTTCATTATTACAGTCTTTCCAACACCAAATATCTTTAAGTTCAGGTACCTAAAATTGCTTTGGCGACCAACAATGATTTCAAACTTCTCTTCTGTTTGGCCCCATCCCAAGAATATTTTTGTGCAATTTCATTGCTCAGAACCTTATAAAGCACTTTCCTGGTACTTTGTGCTACTCCTGAACCACCAAGTCTAGATAATTCTCGAACCTAATAATATTTAAATATATATATACAATATGAAGAGAAAAAACGGCGTCAGCGATGGCTATGAAATGAAGATCGCTGTCATTTTATATGTTAAATTATATGGGGAATGTCATCGATGTTCATTTCATAGCAATCGCTGACGCCGTTTTTTTTTCGATCATACGGTATATGTGTTATTTAAAAATGAACACAAAATATTAGTTGATACCATTATCCTGAAATTATCTGATTTTTTTAGCCAATCCTCCATTGCAAATAGACCCTCATCATCTATTATCGGAATTTTTTTGTAAAATTCTTCTATCATTTTATCACTGCTGTAGGAAACAGTTGGAGTGTTTAAAGATATAATTTTTGTAATTGATGAAATTTTATCAAAACTACATCAACCTTTAAATTTAAAAGGGATAAACTTTGGTCTGAATCCAGTTTAATGTACAATATTGAAGTCATATTTGCGTAACATTGACTTAATAAGATTTTGGCTCCTCTTTTTTGGTTGAATTTTAAAATATTTTTTAATATAACCTATTTTTTTTTGAGGTCTCCTGGTTTTAGAACATTAAATTCACTTCCCTTAAAATAGATACTGAAAACACAAACATAACATGAACTATTTTACCGATTCTATCCTTAAAATAATTATTTGCATCACTTACCTTTACGTTATTTCAGTGTTTTAATTATTAAAATAGTTTGGATGAAGCACGTTTACGTTTATAGTTGACTTTTTGTTTTTTGTTAGGTTATGTCATGGATGTACGATACGAATCGATTTCAATCGAAGATCGATCTTTTTACCCAAAAAATCGATTAAAATCTATCGAGTTTTATCAAACTATCTTTTGGTATAATCGATCATTTTATTTCATAATGGAAGATCGTTTTTATTTATACAGTTTTACAGGTTTATTTATTTGTTAGAATAAGAAACACTGTATTTTTGCTTGAATATTTGTTTACAGTGCATCTATATGCACTAATATATAAAATCCCTAATTATTTAATACACAAAAATTTAATAGTAAGAAAATATACAAATATAATGTATTGTATTTATTTTTTCATTTCGAAATCATTTTTATTCTCCTTTATTTTTATTCAGATATTGATATGTTTAGAACGTGAATAGCAGATACTTATAATTTATTGTAAACCATAATTTAAGAAGACATTCTAAGGTCATGCTGATAATATACCTTTAAATCACATTCATAGTAGAATGTTCTATTCATATGCCATACTTATTAAAAAAAGAATATACTTATAAGAACTTAGGAGGAATATTCTTAGAATGTAAATGTTCCTTTTGTCCTATCTGGGTTGTATCTACAAGTCTTTAGTCATATCTAAAATCAAAATTATTTAAATGTTATGTCAATTTCAACATAAAGTTTAAACAATTTAAATCTTAAGTCTTTGCCTTAAATCATTTTTCTTCAAGTCAAGTCATTTTCGTAGACTTAAAACAATGTAATGTAATTTTAGTCGTTATTATGACTTATGTATATATTTTTGATTTAAATCATGACGGATCTGCAAGTTAAGCCTGCAAAATTACTTAAATTAAAATAATTACCGTCAAGTCAAAACAGCCTAAATTCGATTTAAGTACCTATTTTTTAATGTCAATATAAATTTTCTTATATTACGCATATTTTTCATTTTTTGTAGGTACCAATGAAACTAAAACCACATAAAATAAAAAGGTAAATTATTTCCAGAATAAAAGCAAACATATTTTTTTTATAAAATTTAACCGGTTTTGTAGAAAATGTCCATTAATGTCCATTAAAAAGTGGTGAAATGTTTTAATCACTATGTAATAGTTTTGAATGAATGGAAATAGTTTCAAATATTTAGCTACTCATGGCTTAAAAATTATCAAAATAAGTACATAAGAACAAAATACTTTAAAAAAACTTTAAAATACGATTACATGAAAATTTTAAGGTTTTAGATGTTTTTTGTGCCGGTCAATGTATTTATAATAAGCAGATTAACAATAACTGGAAGACAATGAAACATATTTGGTAAAGAAAATATATCATACGATTGAAAAAAACGGCGTCAAAGACGACTGGGGAATGACAATCGATGACAGTTTTGGTAAGAAGAGAGCTCTAGATGTTTTTATTTGGCCAGTACCGTTCCTCAGTTTTTGATGGCCCAGTTGGTCTGAAGAAGTAAGGTTCATAACCAGGAAATCCCGGTTCTTTTGAGACATCAAAAAACTGGGACTCGGTATTATTAATTCCCTCGGTAATCGGTAATAATAATTATCATATTTTTTGTTACGTGCGAAAGACTTTCTTTGATACTTTCTAGCGGTCGAAATCAAAATCTTCTAAATAAGTAGTGAGCGATCCCTTAGTGTTCTTACTTCAGAAGTTATTTTGAAGTTTCTTCATTGTTTATTAGCAATTATTGGAGTTTAAATATGTTATTTTATTATTTAGTATAATATAGCTGAATGTATTAGTTATATTTTTATAGGCCTTTGCATCTTTAATTAAAAATGTTAAGTTTTTTTTTCTAATTTAGTTAAGTTGGTTTCGAGGTTGGTTGAGGTTGTTTGATGTAATTTTTAAGCTTAATTAATGACTTAATAATTTGATATTATTTTCATTAGAAACTTAATTTTTTATCGGTTTTATTTTTGAAATCCCTAGCTTGCTAATTGACGTACTCACATAATCGTTGAACGAAAATATTTTAGTACGGTTCTGGAAACTCTAATTAATACTACCAATTAGGGTTCAGATCTTTTTGGCCATCACAGAATCGGGCCTCGGTAACAATAATCAAAAAATTATTTTTTTTTGTTACGTGAGAAAGTCCTTTGATACTTTCGCGGTCGAAATCAAACTCTTCTAAATAAGTAATGATGCTATTTCTTATTGTTCTTGCTTCTTTTCTCTTTTGAAGTTCCTATAATATTTATTATGTTATGTTTTAAGAGATATTTGCATTTTTAATTCAATACTTTAAGGCTTTTGTCTCAAATTCAGTTGAATTGGTTTATGTTTTTTGATGTGAAATTTAAGTTACCTATACTTTTTTCTTTACTTGTGTTCATGTTAATTTTTTCATGACTGATTACTTAATAATTTGATATTATTTTTATTAAAAACCTCAATTTTTTATCCATTTTACTTTGAAAAACCATCCTTTGCTTGCTGATTGATGCACCACCATTGAACAAAAATTAGTCAGTATCGAAATTACCGAAAGTACCGGGAAATCCCGCTTCCTAAGAGGCGCGGTACCGAAATACCCGCTTCCGAAAAACAGCTCCGGTTGCGGAAACTAGAACTAGAACTAGAAGAGACTATTTTTTTTTGGATTTGTGTGTCTGGAAACGTTTTATCCTTTTTTTTAATTTTCTATAAATTTTCAGTTTTATGTGAATTTTTAGTAAATGACGACTATAGATATTGAACTCGTCGAAATTATCATCGACTGTCATTCCCCAGCCATCTTTGACGACGTTTTTATTCGATTATACGGTACTTAAAAGCATCCTTTAATTAAAACAAACATTTTGTTCCGTCCATTTCTGATTCCAACTGATTCTTAAAGAAAGTTCCAACCTGTGAAAAATATCACCATAATAATATCTAAACCACCGTTAAGTAAACACACCACGCTCTACGGCAAGCGCCACCGACGACGTGGTTCACGCCCATCATCAGGGATAAAATCTAATCCCGAGGCTAAACGGGCGAAGGAGGAGGGTATAGGCCGCGTGGTAATCTTGTTTATTTTGGAATTAGCGCACTTTACACGAGTGTTATGACAGGCCGACGTTTCGTGAACGGCATGTGTAGAACGAGCCTTCCGTCCGTCTGTCGCGTTTGTTTACTTTTGGAATTAACAGTCTTTGGTCGTGTCACTAAATCATCGGTGGATTGGTGATGGTCTGGTTGCTTTGTGAAATGGAGAGGGAGTCAATCTTTATGTTTGTTTTTCTTCTTTATTCAAATCCAATTTTTATGTATCATTAATACTCCTAACTTTAATTTTTTTAATTAAGTAAAAGTAAGTAGTCTACACACTAGGTACTTCGCACTAGTCCGAAGGAGTAGCAAAATAAACGTACGGATTTAACGTTTTTTGTAAAACTGTCTAGGTATTTTAACACAAATGAAGAAGGAAATTAAAGATAAAGGATTATACTATATCCGCATTGTAGCACAATTTTAGACAACTTCTTGATGGTCAAACGACAATAAAATATTCCTTATGTTTTGTCTAAATTTTCTCGAAAAGAAAGACATAATTTAAAATTCGTTACAATACGGAAATAGATTGAAGTTTTGTGATTACATTGATATATAATTTATATGAATTTGTAACAAATTGATCGCTATATTATGACAAATGCTGAAGCTCCGCAAACCTTAAAAGCACACTTATTTGGAATTTTGGGTTTGGCTTAACACGACAGGATCGGGCTAAGCTTTAGGCAAATTTCTGAAATGTACCTAATATATATTTCCTTCTGGTCACACCCGCTATAGAGTAAGACTAATAGTATGTATCTATAGAGTAAGACTAATAATTAACATAAAACACTAAACCTGCACTAAACTTTTGATAAGCACAATTACTTGCAAATTTTGAAGCATATTTAGTAGAAAAAAATTTAAAGTTTGTTAACTTTTTCTAATCTAATAAGTGAAAATATACTTGTATTCATTTAAAACTTCCCAATATGGCGGACTTCAGTATGGGAGGCTTAAAAAACGATTATCTCTAGACTGGAATCGACTGTAGTTCAAATCGTTCAAATTATTCAAATTGATAATCTGTGGTAAATCTAATTGAACCATGACACTTGGCTGACAGTGACGTTTACGGCTCTTTTTTTTAAATATTTTCATTATTTTTTGAGTTTCTATTCACAAATTCTTCTTGATTATATTCTTTTATTTAACCTGCAGTACTAATTATACCGTATGATCGAAAAAAATACGGCGTCCAGTTGGCTGGGAAATGAACATCAATGATATTTCCCATATAAATTTACATATAAAATGACAGCGATCTTCATTCCATAGCCATCGCTGACGCCGTTTTTTCTCGATCATACGGTACATAGTGTTAGTTATCAATAATATTTTCACCGATCAAGAACTGAGCAATAGCCTGGAAGATATTCAAAATGTGTAAAACGCTTCAAAATGTATTAGAAAACATTGACTCGTCCACAAATACGTGAAAATAAATCAGTACAGATCTTTGTAAAAAGGTCTCTAATTATTTTGAGAAGTTTCTTCGAATCAGTAATTTTCAGGTTTGTAATATGGATATGATAATAAATAGATTAAAACTTATATTTCAGGATATGCGATTCAAACAGCGCGGGC